CACACACACACACACACACACACACACACACACACACAAATGGAAATTTCTAGTTATAATACATCTATTAAGAATTGGTGCTATGAATAGTATCAATGGAAAAGTCTGATGTGTTTAGATACAGTGCCTCAGCTGAATCTAAAAGATCATGCTAGAGTTAAATAGAATGAGAAGAGGGAATGTTTTAGGCAGAAAAGCTTAGCCTGCAAAAGCCATAAGGCTCAGTCTACAACCCTCATCACAGATTCCCTTCATGACTTCTCCTGTAACTTTCTGTCCTGGTTTTGGGTCCCCCAAAGATAGGCTTATTCCCAAATTGGAGTTCTGATATATCTACATTCAGACGATAGAGCACTCGAAACCTGTAACCCCAGTGCTTGGAGGAAATATTACAGGCACTCAGCACCTTTATCCATAAATAACTATCAGCTCACAAAGGGAGCCACCACTTTCAGTTTCCTTGTCGTCTAAGTATGAAAAGTACTTGCAATGTTAAGGTCAGTGCTCAAAAGCAGTTTCAGTAAAAAGAACATTGGGATCCTATCTGTTTTGAAAGTGAAATTCCATCATTAAGGTCCCAGACCGACATAGTGGTTGGCTAGGTATATCCTTTGTCTTTGGTTAGCTTTGACACAACCTATGTGCCATTTGACTCCCAGGAAATTATTAATATTTACTTTCTTCCTACTGCCTTGAGGACATGTTGTTCTCCTTATGCAAAGATGTTGTTATTGACCCCAATCAGCAGGGTATATGCTCTGCAATATTTATCTCCTAAAGGACAGATTTACATTGATCTGCCCATACTTTTTCTTCCATTGCCAATGTGAAATACAGTTGCAAGTTAACTGGTAGGAGATAGGATCTAGACTTTGACAGCAGATCAGGGAACATAATTGTTTAGCTCAAAGACTTTGAGCAATAGTTCACAAACTGAGAGGTGGGAACTGAAGCATCAAAGAGAAAAATGATCTGAGCATTTTCTATCTGTACATGCTCAGCTTGACTCTAATTCCAGAGACCCCCTTATGCCTTCTCTTAAGACCCACTGATTAAAGCAACATTCTTCTATCATTATCTGCTTCACTTTCATATGAAAACTTACATCATGGCATGCATCAAGCTGTGTTGTGAGTAGGCAGATGGTAAGTAGATGATACCAGATTATCTCATTTCAATGCTTGGTACCAGTTTTGTTTCAGATTTTAGAGTCTCTTGAATATTGGAATATTTCATAGATTTCAGCAGTTATGCATCTCTAATCTGAAAATCCAAAATTCTCCAACAACCAGAATTTTGAGCATCACACTGGTGCTCAAAAGTTTCTGCTTTCAGAGCATTTCAGAGTTGGGATTTTTAGATTAAGGATGCTCAATCTGTATATGACTTTCCTCTCACTGGTGTGACAAATTACTACTTTAAAACAACACAAATTGATTGTCTTATAGTTCTGTAGGTCAGAAGTGTAAAGTAGATTTATAAAACTATATTCATTCTGGAGTTTCATGGGGAGGACTTATTTTCTTGCTTTCTCCTGCTTTTACAGGCTATTTACATTCTATGGCTCCCTCCAGCTTCAATTCCACGGTGTAGCCTCTTCCTTCTCCTCTGACCTCCTGCCTCCTTGACCTTCGGGCCCACTTGGAAAACCTATCAGGGCCTCTACATTTTAAAAATTTTTAAATCCATAATCACATTTGTAAAATTCCTTTGCCATGGAAGTTCACACATTCATAAGTTCCAAGGACTAGGATGTAGAAACCTTTGAAGTGGATAATTATTTTATCTACCACATTTAATGGTAAGGTGGATAAATGAGTGAAAAATAAGATAGATAGATAGATAGATAGATAGACAGACAGACAGATAATAGGAATATTAAGTAAGATTGCTGATAATCAGATCATCAAATAGAAAGGAGAAAATTGACCCAAATTCATCAAAGCCCTGGGTTCAAAACTATATTGTCATAAGCAATCAAGTAGTTCACTTTAGAAACAGCAAACCTATACAGCAAGGGACCTTCAATCATCATTTCCTGTAAGATTGATTTGAGACTGCCTAAATAAGAGATCAACAGGTTAAACCCAAAGGGAGAGTTTAGTTAACACAGTTAAAGAACAATTTTTGTGTAGTTACCATGATGTAAAGATAAAATAGACTATTTAATTCTCTGTTATTAGTTCTGTTAAAATGTATGAAACTCATGAACATTTTATGGAGAAATTGCAAAAGAGAATTCTAAAGTAAAAACAGGACTGAAACAAATAGAGTCTAAGATCCCTTCCAACTCAGCTCTCTGGGGACTCATAACTGCTCATATAACAAAAGTCAAACAGGAAAAAGTTTCATTATGTATGGAACCATCAACATGTAGTGGTCAGCAGAATGGACAGGAGCTGATGCTGGGTCTGAGGATCTGGATTTGAATCCTGGATTTGGACAACCTACTTGCTGATGTATTTAAGCTCACTGAGGTTGTTTCCTAACCTGTGAGGTTCACGTGTCATAACCTTGATCATGCATATCCAAAGATCCTACTGTAGTCTCTAGTACGCTAGAAGCTTTTGAAAGTGGTACCTGGGAGAAGCCAATATTTTAAAACCCATTAGTTTAGGGTAATCAGCATTATTTTTAATCTTAGACACATCCGTACACTGTGTCAGGTCTCTACCAACTTCACAAGAAGAGGTGCTAAAATTTTAAGTCCTTGTGCGGACAGAGTTGGCGATAAGCCACAGGGCACACAACATGAGGGTGACTTACACAACATTGCCCACCACTGCCCACCTGGAAACAATGGTCATCAAGGTGGCCTGGGTGGTCAGGATGCAGCAGGCTCTCACTGGCCAGGTACATCAGCACACTGGTCAGCACCCAGATGCAGAGGATGGACAGCAGGGCACCGAGGACCTCTGTGGATTCAAACATACAAGGACATCTCACACAGGTCACCATCCCTCACCTGCTGCCTTCACAAAGTCATGATACTCTCTGCTTCTCCCCTGGAAGGAATGACCACAAACTAGTTTGCACGGTGATGCACAAGGAAAGTGTGGGTGGATTTCAGCACCGAGATGAAGGATTTGCGTGTTGCATTCGTAAAACACCAGCGTCTGAGTTCATTATAATCCATATTACTAAGTAATTTCCAGCCAGTTTTTAGAACATATTAATTGCTGCCTGCCCTCACTGTTTTCCTCGGGGATTGTAATTTAAACAGGTGCTAAAATGATCGAAACTTGTTAGGAGATGAAATAATGAGACGTGACAACTAAAATGTGTTTAGAAACTCTTAATTTCACCATAAAACATTTACGACTTGCTAGTACCAGCACCTTTAGTGGAATAAAATAGCAAAAAGGGAAGGCTTCAGAGGGTACTTGATGGAAATGAGTTCCATTTGCCAGCCCAACATATTGTAAACACCCAGGCCCAGCTCGGAGGCTCATCAACACTCTAACTGCCTCTTAAGAGCAACCGCCAGGGAAAGAAGCATCAGGATGGAGACATTTACATTAATATTTGAAGATAAGACAGCGCTCAATCTGCCCTTGGGGGAAAGTACCTTTGCTCAGTTAGAGATCTGTAACACCTCACTGATCTTTAACTCAATCTTGTAGGTCCATTCTAGAAACCAAGGCTCTAGAAATATTTTGTGCATGACTAAGTCAGGCACGTTCCATGACGTTCTTATCCACTTTGAACTTATGCCAGGTATTAGTCACATCTAAAACAGAGTAATGTGGGTTTTTTTCAGGTATAAAGTCAAGCACATTGCATTTTATTCTCGTTGATCACAACATGTGTTTTTTCTCACTTAAGTGAATAGTTTTCCAAGGCAAGGTTACCATTTTGCTCAACTTTGTACAGCTACATTTCCCCAGGATCCAACAACTAACTGGTACAAATGACATTCCAGTATCCTTAATATGTGACTCTTTTTTAAAAAAATTCTTTTATTGGTACATTTTAGGTATACAACACAATTACATTTCTCATTGGGAATTTGTACCTTTACATGATGCATCTTGGTTCTTATTTTTTTCCCCATTCCTAGCCCTCCCTTCATGCCCTCCACCCTTCCCTATTTACAAAGACTTTATTTCCATTTTTTCCATTTCTCATCATTTTTCCTTTCCCTTCTTTCCTTTCCCCTGCCCCTCCCACTACCCCTACCCCTTTGGACCTTTTCTTCCTATTTTGCATTATCGATTATTCATTCTAATCATTTGTACATTTTAGGTACACAATATAATGACATTCATCATTGGAAATTTGCACCTTTACATAATCTCTCTTGGTTCTTATTTTTCACCCTTGCCCAGCCCTCCCTTCAACCCCTCCATTCCTCCCTATTTACAAAGTTTTTAAATAAAATGGAGTACTACTCAGCCATAAAAAATTAGAAATTAGAGACATTTATAGCTAAATGGATGCACATTGAGGCGATACTCTTAAGTGAAATAAATAGGACACACATGTGTAAATACTGAATAGTTTCTCTAGTGTGAGAAACTGAAAGTGTAAATAAGGACTAAATGTATAATAGGTAATGTGAAATAGGAAGAAAAGGGGCAAAGGGGAAGGAAGTGGGAGGGCTAGGGGAAAGGATAGAAGGGAATGGGATTAATATGAGAAAATGGAAAAATAGGAACAGAGTAATGTGTTGTTAACTAGTGTGTGGCCATTGTTGCCCAGACTCCAATCATTGACATACAACTGTCATGATTTTCCCCATAACCTCATGACACCTGTCTTATTAACCACCTCATGTTTTCTTCAAATAAATTCATTCTTTGCACTTAGCTTCTTCCTAAACAAAGTTTCCATGAAATTATGAAATTACTACTTTATTCTCTAATATTTATTAAGATGTACAATGAGTGCTCGTGTGACACTTACAAGTCACTTGACTATCCATCAGTAGAACACTATGTACACTATGGGAAATGTTGGTCCAGATTTTAAGGGTGTGAGTTCAAACATCAAATACATAGTCTGCCAGTGACTGGCACAAGTGACTTTATACAAGTAACTTATCTTATTTGAGCTTGATTTTCCTTACCTATGAGAAAGGTATAATAATAGCATATGTGTAAAACAAGTTGGCGTATGTTATGAGTTGAATTGTATGCCCCGAGACAACAGTACCTCACATTGTGACCTTGTTTGGAACTAGGGAATTTGCAGTTGTGACAAGGTAAGATGAGGTCATACTGAGATAGAGTAAGTCTCTGATTCTGTCTGCCTGCTACACTTACTCTAGGGGAGAATTTGGCCCAGACATGCACATGGTGCAAACAGCATGAGATTAAAGCAGAGATCTGCAAACCAGGGGGCAAGGATTGGCAGCAAACCACCAGGCTCTAGGAGACAGGCATGGAACTCATTCTCCCTCATAGTCCTCAGAAGGAACTGACCTTGCTGATTCTCGATCCTGGACCTCTATTTTCCAAATCTATGAGACGATACATTTCTGGTTGAGCCGTCTGAAGTGCTTTGTTAAGGCAACACCAGGAAATTAATACAACATATGGAAAAACTCAAGAAATATTTATTATTTTGTTAGTCCAGTCAGACAATTTAAAACTGTCTTTATAGAAGTTTAAGAAGACTAGACAAGAATTTCTGGCTAGCTAGAAAAAGGTGTTGGGTTTGTAGATGCCAATTAGTGTGCTTCCTACCCAGGGGAGCCCAAATCAGGATATATAATTAGACCATTGTCCACTCTGAACCCATGACTAGAGAGGTATAGTGAGACAGGAGCTAGGAGGATAAAGTTGAAAAATCCAGGGCAAAGATCAGGAGTCCAGACATAGGCCAGGAATCAGAAACTAGTTAGACAAAAAACACATGAGGAACCTTTGACAAATGCTACCATGATTGCTGAGAAATCTATCAGGTGAGCAAGGTCCTTGGGCTGCTGGACCAGTGTGGGCTGTGTTAAGCTCACCTGTGTCTATTGTGGTACTGTTTGATGTGGTACCCATCAATCATGCAGCTATCAAAATGGAAATTAAGTAAAATAAAACATACTGTTCAGTTGTGCTAACTACACTCAAAGTTCTCAATGACCATGCCCAAGATGACAAAGTACAGCCACGATCTAAACTGAGTCCACCCTGTGTTTACAAACAATCCCACCTTTACAAAAAAGCTCTGACCAATGGGATCAGAAAGGATCAAATACCTGTAAACATTTATACATACAAATGATGGGTGCGGCACTAGGTTACCCTGATCACACGGTCATAAATTCTGTTTATTGTTGTTTATTATTTCATCTTTCTCTGAATGTCAAAGGGAAGGCAATTCTCTGCATTGATAAGAAGTGTAGGAGGGAACTAGAACGTCCTCCCATTCTGAACATGAAGCCCTGTAATCCACACTGGCAGCTTCTGATCTGCTCTCTGTGGCCAGCAGCACCGTCTGTGGAGGCTGGCCGCGTGGGTGGCCTTTTGCTGCCCTTGCTCTGCCCCGGGATCTCATTGACATTGATTTTCTCAACCGGTGTGGAAACATGGAGCTGTGACTACTGGTTCCCAGGATCTGGCAGAACCTCTTCTAGCTGATACGGGCAACGACACAGAGGCGGAAAAGCAAAATTGCTGAGTGTGTGCTGGGGAGGGATGAGTTGTACAGATGAATCCAAGTATAAATTTCCCAGGGACTAAAACCTTCGCTGACCTGGCCCACTTCCTCTACAAGAGCTAGCTGTTTTAATTCTTTCTTCTGAGAAAGAAGAAATTTCCTTTCCTCCTCTTCTTCCTCCTCTTCCTCTTTCCTTGGTTTTTTTTGTGTGTGCATGTGTGTGGATGTCTAATTGATGGTTGATTTGTTGATGGTGTCTTAGTGCTTTCTCTGCTGCTATAATAGAATATACTGACTAATTTAGAAAGCAAGGAGATTTGTTGCTCATCGTTTTGGAGGGTGGCAAGTCCAAGATCAAGGCCCCAGCAGCTGGCAGAGGCCTCTGTGCTGCACCATTGTACAGCAGAAGGGCGGGAGATGAGAGGAGATTTGGGATGCTCTCATTCTTTTCATCAGCAACATAATAATGGCATAAGTCCATTGAGGAGAGCTGGGTCCTCTTGACCTAAACACCTCATAGAGTCCTTACCTCTTAATATTGTCATAATGACAATTAAATTTAAATGAGAGTTTTGGAGGCCGCATTTAGAGCATGGAAATGACCAAATGCTGGCTGGGCAGAAGAGCCCATGTTCTGTCCTGACTCCCGGGGAGGAGTTCTTCAGTCTCTGCCATGCTTTTGGGCCCTCTGGGCCTTATCTTGCAATATGACACCAGCTTGACCTTTAGCCCTCTCTTCCAGGGATGCAAAGTAATTTAATGAATACTATCGTGGCTATTACCCTGGGGTTGCTGCTAAAGTGATACACGTGTCGTGTCCCTGCTGTCCCACAGGAGAAGTGGTAGCACCATTAATCTGTCTGCTGAATTAATATTAAGAACACACATTCCCACAAATACATTTATTCTATCCTGTGCACCAGACATGTGCCCCTAAGGGATCTTTTGGGGCAAGCCTTTGCCCTTTACCTTCTGTCTTTACCCTCGGTTTGCCTCTGAAGTACTATCCTGTCATCGTTGCTTAAATGAATCAGTGAACCTGCTTAGTGCCACCCAAATGTCAGCCTTTTGGAGGGGGGCCTTGATGACAGCCACAGGGAAAACAGACTGAGCAGAAAACTGGTCAGGTCCACTAAGTGATGAGCAGCATCCATGATGATGGTGAGACTCTCAGCAATGTGCCCACCTAAGGGTGTGAAATAGGACACAGGGCTAAGGCCATAGAGGTCAACTACATTCACTTGCATGCCAGCCACAGTTAATGAAATGCCAGACTCACACAACTTTAGAAAAGGGAGGATCCTAAAGCTGGTTTAATCCACCTCTTCTTTCCAATTTGACAAAGAAAGTGAGACCCCCCCAAAGCAGATAGGATTTCAGCACGTACAAGTGGATTTCAAGAGCTGGGAGAGAAAAGGTATAAGTTTCTGAAGTGCAGGGCACAAGAAGTTTTTCTATAAACCAGATGCTGCAATGTAACCCCGAGATGTGATATTATTTGTCTTGTGATTTTTCCACTTCTTTTTGTGCTACTAATTTATATTGTCCATGTGAGTTCAAGATCCCTGTTGTAAATACTGGGGGCAGAAAAGAAAGGTGGAGGCACTTTCCAATGGGCACACAGAGTGCAATAATAGTCCAGTAAAGGGTAAAAATAGACCTCCAGCCATGGGAGTCCTGCTTTGCTTTTCCCTCCATTTGGCTTGTTCCTTTTTCATCCCTCCAATCCACCTCTGAAAAGCCCTCCAGCTTCCAGTACAGAAATTAAGGTAAAACTTTGTCCTTTCCAGCCTGAACAGGGCTTGTGTCTGAGAGCAATAACCTTTATTGCTTTTCCTACATCTTCCCAGCAAAGAGCTTCCATGGACAGATTAGTCCTCCCTGCAGCTCTTTATTGCCTTGTGTACTCCAAAGCAAGAGACTGGCAGTCGTCAGCCCTCCATCACCACACTCACCTTGTCTCGCCTAATGATTAAAAAAATTACATAGATGGCTCATAATTGCAATAATCCCCACAGACCGTTGGCTGTAGCTGTAGTTAATAACTGGTTTGTCAAAATTTAATGGTCTGAAGCAAAGTACTCTTTAAGCTTGTTACTGAGCTGTCAGTGCAAAACTCCGAATGATTCATTAGCCAAAAGGCAACATTTTGCTAACAAATCAGCTGTCCTTCCAATTATCCTCTAATGTTGCTCTATCTGCCAAACTTAGCCCTGATTATAAAGCTGTGTTAATAATGCATTATTTTTTGCCTGGAGAATGAGTGCATGCAGCAAAGCAGCTTGCTGCCAGCTCAGCAATGAATGATGATGATTCTATGCACTGTGCTAAATTGTGGTCTAAGTCAAGGAAATAAAGTCTTGCAGGGATTCTTCAGCAGGCTCAGCTCAGTCAAAAAAGGCAACTGAGAAAGAGAAAGGGCTCGCTTTGGAAGAAGCATGTTAACAAGGAGACCTGGGACCTCAGAATCATTTGCAACCATCAAAGCTGCTTATAAGAATCATCTAGAAACTACAGGAAATTACAGCTGAAGTCTACTGATCAAACTATTTGCAAGAGATAGTTTGTGGCTGCATTTGTGTTTACTCCCGAAAGCCTGAGGTACTACTGACAATTAATTCAATCATCCAGGCGGTACTTATTGAGCCCTTACTGTGCATGGTGCCAGAGACAGGGAACACAAAGATCAACAAATCACAATCCTTCTCTTTAGTGATCTCCTGCCTAACACCCACCGCACTGCAAATTCAATAATGGGTTGGAAGCAGAAAGCACTGGGAGCCTTGAGGAGCGTTTCATAGATAAGAAGGGTGAGAATCAGAAAGGAGGAAAGAAAAGACAAGAGCAGAAAAAGAGAAGGACAGGCGCAAAGACACAGAGGCGAAAGAATTTGCCGCCCTTCTGGTTGATCGTTGTTCTATGGGCTAAGGGGACCTAGTGTTGATTTTGAGCCAAAGTTGTGACATGTTCATATTTGTAATTGAGAGCGCCTTTACCAGCAATATGGGGGATGACTTCCAGGGAGGAGAAGCTGGAAGTTAAAATGCAACAGCAATAGCGAAAGGGCATTGTGATAAAGGCATGAACTAAGGAGGGCAGTGGCACTTGTACTTCTGAAACACTTGGCAAGATGTGCAGAACAGCGCACTTCAAAGAGGCAGGAGAGGCACAGCAAAGATTCAGTCCTCCAAACAGACTCTGTCCACAGCCCCTACGGTGAGGTGACCACAGGAACTCACCTCAGATTCAAGGAATTGCTGTCAGGTCCCCATGACATGTTCCACAGAGAACAGAGACATCTGCTCATCTGACAGAGGAAGCCTTCTGCCCTATCACTAGGGCTCTACCAAGGCATGCTATTAATTTACTTTGTAAAAAAATCTCTACTTTATAGCTCACATTATTATTGTACTATGTGTTGTGTCCAAAAATTCATCAAGTTATTATCCAGTCATCCTGAAGGCATGAGGTACTGCTGACAATTAACACACTATACTTTTCATAGCCATGTCTGGACATTTATTAAGTTTTCAATAGCAGGAACCTCAGAATATTTCTTGTATCAGCCACTGAGATCCTAGTTGTAGAAAAAAGCAAGTACCCGTATCAATAAAACATGTAGTTAGCACATCAGCAGCCATATCTTTCTCTTAGGAAAAGACAATTTTTTTCACTTTCATATGCTGTCATCTTCCCCAGCCGGTCCCCAGCTTTGCATTTCCTCAAGCAGTCTCATGTTTCCATCCTTAGGTAACTGTTCTCTGGCAACTCCCAGTTTCCTCCGCCAGAGACAGACTTCTGCTTATACAAATATGTCTCTCTATGGCTTCTCTCCACCAGGCATTTCCAGAAACAACAGAAACAGCCCCAACGCAGCAGCTCAAAGGCCCATGAAGAGCGAACTCATAAGGCGTATATCTTTTTCTCCTTAGTTCTTCCTCCCTCTGATCTGGAGTGCACTTTGTGGCAGTTCTCCCCCTAAGCACAGATCAGTCTGATTCCCCAGCTGGACCTCAACCCTCCTCGACCTGCCTCGCAATGACCATTCTGGTGGCATTTTCCACTGACCTTAGATAGGCTCTTTCATTTCTGCATCATAAATGCCCAAACTAGTTTAAACAGCAATAAGATTAAAGTCTATTGCCTCACATTAGTAGAACAAACCTGGGTGAGATTGCATTGGGTGTTTTACGTCTCAGAACATGCCAAGGCTTTGCTCTATCTCACTATTGCTATTAATTTTCTTATTGGGGACAGGCTTTCTTTCCCTCCATGAGAAAGCTGGTGGTCTAGAAGCTCCAGGCCTAAATCATTTCAGCTTAATAGTTGTAGAGAAAAGAGAATTTATTCAACCTCCCTACAGAAGATCTAGAGACCCTGCTCAGCTCAGCATAGCAGCTCACTCGGAGTCCTGCCTCAGGACTTGAGCTACTCAGGCAGGAAGGACCAGAACTGCAACCAGAGCAAGAGGAAGGAGCTTGCTGAACAGGAAATGTTCTTCAACCAGAAACACTGGCACTCAAACTTCTAAACATCTGTTTCAGACCTGTCCAGGAGAAATCTCTCAAGGTAATGTCTGTTGTTTACTACCTGTCAAGCTGTAGCAGTAAATAGTGTGCTGTTTTTTCGGGCTGTTCCACCTGAAAAGCCCTCTGTGTTCATCTTTCAAGGCCAAAGACCTCCAGGGTCCCTCAAAGTGCTAGGCTAATAATACAGAGTCTGCCAAAAAATGTACACATCAGGAAAAGAGAAATTTGCATAAATATTTTAACACTAAATTTATGGACACATCATGAGATTAATACCAGTTACCTTTGGCCTCTGTAATGACAAGAGGTACTCAGAGGGGTGCCTTGAGCTTCCATTTATTAGTATGGTGAACCACTGAAGTGTGGATACATTTTTTGGCGGATTCCATAGTTGTTTTCTCTGATAGCATCAGTAGTGCCCTTGGGAAGTGGAGAGCTGTGGACTAGAGTCTTGCACGATGGCCAGGATTTTGATGAATGTGAAAAGCAGACAGGTATTTTCCCATTCCAACAAATAAAGCAGAAGCCATAGGGACTCTAAGCTACGATGATTACTTTGCAGAGGATGAGTAAATACATTTGGCTGGTACAGTGCAGCCACATAGGGACATTGTAAGAGAAAAATATTAATAGGTTGGCAGCCAGATTGTTGAATACCTGGAAAATCAAAGTAAAACATTTTCATTTTGTCCTGCATGCTGGACCTTTCCAATGTTTTGATCTGTCTTCGTGTTTTGATCTGTCTTCAGCTGGGGTGGCCACATGAGATTTTTAGCAGAAGCAGCTTTTGAACCCATCACACAAGCTCCCTCAGCAAAATCTCCTGTGCTCAGCATGATGAGAAACATGTGGTGACCCACTGGACTAGGCCAAGAGGAGCCATTGAATAATTTTGAACATGAAGAGAGCAATATTTTAGAAAGATCAGCACAATGTCGATATGATTCAAAATTGAAAGACTTGTGAGTCAGCATCCATTTCACTCCCTTACTGATAATACCACTTTTGACTCTGAGCAAAAGTCAAATTAGAGCTCCTAGACCCTGATTCATAGGAATAAGGAAGAAAGGAGGTAGTTGATTTCCTGACTCCAAGGCAACAGCTGTCCATTTCCATCCTAAAAAGAGAAGACATTTTAATGCAATTTTAGTAGTCCATGTTTGCAATACACAATGACTACATTTATTGTGGAGAGTTTGTACATGTACATGGCACATTTTCTTTCCGTTTTATCCCCTTCCCCTCCTATCATTCCTTGCTTCTTCCAACTCTTGATCCCTTTTCCATTTGAAAAAGCTCTAGTATTTCCAATTTTTTCTTTGAGTCCCTCTTTTAAAAACATCTCTTTTGCCTTCCTTCCCTCAACACTCAGCTAATGTGATATGCAAGGAATGTCTCTCAGCACTACTACTTATGACAAACTTGCTGCTACATACTAACATAAGAAAGGTTGAAAGCTTTTCTTCAAGGATCAAGAAGAAAACAAAGATGTTCCCAGTTCCCAATTTCTGCTCAACATATTCCTGGCAGAGTCCTAAGCAGAGAAATTAGGCAAGAGAAGGAAACAAAAGGTTTCCTGATTAGAAAGAAGCTAAATTGTCCTTAAATAATCCATAAGAAAATCTGTTATATCTAATCCTTAAAATCTCATTAAAGTTTA